GGACAAGATTGGTTGCTAAATATTTTACTAAAATTGTTTTTTCTTGTAATAATTCTTATGTTTATATAGTACAAAATATTTATAAAATATTAATTAGGAACCAATGGATCAGTTGGTTTCATTTAATTTAGTTTCTCTTTTTACAAATGTTCCTCTAGAAGATACATTAGATTACTTTGAATATAAGTTATCAGTGAGTAATAAGTTCTTTTATTAGAAGTTTTTATATTGTCTGATGCTGTTTTTGTAAACAATATTTTAAAGTTGGAGAAACATTTACAGGCAGATTAAGAGTTTAGCTGTGGTATCTTCCTGTTCCCTCTTTTTGTATGAACTAGTTATTCATGATTTTAAAACTAACTGTATGCTTGAGATACTTTCTTATTTGACAGCATGGTAATGGTATGCTAATAGGTTATAAAAACCATATGAAGTTGGTTGGCCTTGACCTTCAATTCATGTTAAACTGAAAATGAAGTTTTGAATTTGTTGTACATGGCTGTTAAATGGTTTGTATTTTATATTGCTGTACAGAAAGTGTTATCGGTTGTTATGTTTCCACATTGTCACCCCTTGTCACAAGATCTGTCTGCCTTCTCTATATTTGTTTTTAGGTCTTTAGATGTCTCTACTTATCATAAATATTTGATGTCAGAGTTGAATTTATTTATAAAGGATTTACTCCTAACATTATTGACAGGGTGTATAATAAATACCGTAAGTCTCTAGTAGGTTAGAAGTGTCACAATGTACCAGATTGCATGTAAATACTTACAGTATCAGTATATGCTTGCTCAGATTATTCCAACATAAGTAGGTAATATATTTAAAATTAAAAATCATTGTAATGTTAACATTTGATTTTCTTTATAAATTAAGAAATTTTATTATTGGTCATAAAAACAAATTAAAACAGTATAATGAATGTGTTATCTGTAAAATTTTACGAAACTGTGGTTTAATTTATCCTGGTCAGACATGCTGGAGCCATTGAATAGTCCAGTAGAGAACAAAGTACGATATATTTTGAATTTTATCGAAGTATATTGTGCAACGGATTCTGCTATTGGTAAATATTACAGTAGAAGTTCTAATCTTATTGCAAATTAATACTTTGGAAGTAATATTTAGTTCAAATATATATTACTGTTTATTATATCAATCACACTTGCTTTCTCACACCATTGAATTATGGGAAAAATCTGACCAAATATGGAACTAGAAGAGAGGTGTTGTTGTCCATTAGCTGTAATAATGATAATTGAATGTTGATAATTGGCGTAGAGGTTATGACAGTTGAAAGGATTATCTATATAATCATTTTCAAGCAATATCTACATGGTCATAAGGCTAGGAGTGGTAGGGGACTAAACCAGAGAGATAGATAGAGAAAGGATCTAAATTTCGTGACAGATTGAAGAAAATGATTGAAGCTAAATGTTATAGTTGAGGTATGTGATCGAGTTACATTTTACTACTCCAATAACATTCATAGAATTTTTCTTTTTATTTCGTTAGGTGTTAGCATTGAAAGCTAAGGAAGGACTGAAAAAAGTTGAAACACTATATATTTTAAACCTTTTCATTTCCATCATTCTATTAAAGATAGTGTAAACAAATGTCCACTGAACTTGCTGTATTTTATTTTTTTTGGGGGGGGGGGGGTAATCATGTATGCATTCTAGTGACTACCAGTTTCAGTACATTATCATTTTTACATAACTGTGGTTTGAAGTAAAATTATCATAATTGGCAGAGAATAAAATACAGGAATTTGTTTCTCAATAAAACTGAAATCTATGTAAAAGTGTCTGGTATTACAGAACATAACCCATGATATGTCTGATATTACAGAACATAACCCATGATATA